TAGAATAATCGGCTTTTAAAATCCTTGGGTTTTTTATATACTGCTTATTTTTATGAGATTTCTTTAACTTAATTTGCCACATATAGATTTGGCTCCCAGCTATTTCATTTCTCACGTGGCATGCCATCAACAATTATTGTATCAGACTTCCATGAAATCAGGAGGAGATAGGGAAATTTTAAATTACAACATTTCTCATGTAAGAAATACTAATATTCTTTTATTTTGGAGGACTGTCCATACTTAGCAGTCTTCCACACCACTCCCAGGGAGGGTGGCAGGGGTAAACTATCCTACACCACACCACGAGCAAGAAGGAGCTGGATGAAACTCTAGTTTAAAAGAAGCCACTTGGACTTTTGCTATTGACTTGAAAGGGACCAAGATGCATCCAGAGAGTTAGTGAAGTGGAAAGGACGAATGGGAATGGAAAAGGCCAGTCTGACAGGAACAAATTGTTTTGGAGAGATGTGTTAATTTTTGACAATCTTTCTGTTAAAACAAAATAGATACAACCCAGAGCAAAGCACTCGAGTCACTGTGGAGCATTTCACATTGACCTTTTCAGAACTGAACGCTTCAGTTAAGTAAGACATCCACATCCTATCGTAAGGTACATTTTGTGGTGGTTATAGCAAAACTAAGCTTCTGCAGCGACCAAAATAATCTTTCTCCATCACATTTTTGTTTTGTGATTCAATTCCCTTTTTTCTTTTACATTTAAGCATTTTCATTCTATCTTACCGAGCAATTTTTTTTTTGGAAACTGTAGAATTTCTTTTGAAACAGCACTCCCCCAGGACACCCCTGGGATGCTGCAAGCCCAGCGGTACGAGTGCAGGGGCTGGGCTCGTGGCAGGCAGTAATTGGTGTTGTACAGGGGGAAAAACCCACCGCAAACCCCAGCTCCTTTCTGCCGTGAGGCGGTGGAGCTTGCACGGTGTGGCTCAGAGACGTGGGCTTTGAAAGGGCAGCAGAATTCTCGCAGGGCAGGTGGTGTTGGGCAGCGAAGCTGTGCAACCCGTCCCACTTTATCAGCACTTGAAAGGTAACTTCTGCAGCTCCAGGAGAACTTTGCTGATTAAGGCTGCCAGAGGGACCAGGGGAATTTCAGCTCGAGCTTGCAGCTGCATTTTTAAAACTTGGCTGTGTTCTTCATATAGAGGCAAAGTTCGAAGCAGCAGAACATTATTCAGTATGAGTAAAACACACTCTTCTAAGATACACTTTCAAACAGTGGTGTGTTAAATCAGAACAACTCGTGGAGGGGGAGAGTAAGGAAGAAAGATGGTCCCCTGGAAAAGAAAATCCCGCATCACTATTCCTGTTCTGCATTTTTGGAAGGGCCTGCATTTACACATTAAAATTGTCCAGCTGCGTGACCCTAGGCTAGATAAGCTAGAAATGCATTAAAATGTTTTCCAGAGAATATCGGAAAAGGAAAAAGAAATGCAATTCAGTTTAAGAGCCATCACACATTTGAGGATGTGGAAGGGCCAGGCTGTGACACGTGTTCATGCTACAGAGAACTTTACTCCACCAAGAACGAGCTCCTGATTTCAAGAACACTATGCTACGGTGTAAGACACTATTTCAATTAAGTTATTATAATCTTAACCAGCAACAACAACCTATTATAATTAATAATACTTGATGATTTCTTTTCTATTCCTGTCAAGGGTTGCTTCAAGGTGACTTGCACACCGCAGAGAGCACGCTCCTTGGAAACCCAGGCAGTCTGAGTGCTCTGCAGTCTGGGAAGCCCCTTCACTGAAACCCCATCAGGCTGTCTCTGATGAGTCTCTTCACATTGCTGCCAATTCTTCCAGCTCTTGGCCAATCCTCTTGGAAGGATATTTGTATTTTAGGCTAAAGGCAAACTTGCTGCTTCTGTGGGAGGCTAAGTGCCCAGCGGTATCACACCGTGCCGCAGGTTGGAGTACGCGTTCTTTCTGCGTTCCCATTTTCTCGGTTTGCTCTACCTCCTTTTGCCTTATTCACCGTCGATTCAGTAGGTCACATCTTACTTGTCCACCCTCCGTCCCCTGCCAGGTCCAGGCACAATTTGCAGCTGTCCTACAGGGTCAGGGATGAGGCCCGGCGCTCTCTTCCAGCTCCCCGCATCCCGGCTGCTAAGAGGGGACCACGCTGCACTTGGTGGTGCCCCCGACGCCTTCGCTTTGCCCCGTAGCCCAGGGCGTGCTGTGACGGCACCGCAGGGCCCTTTCCCGTTCCCTTTGAATGGGATCTGCTCTAATGATCCTGCTAAGCCTTACAGGGGCTTTCCTTGCAGCTCAAGGTCACCGCGCCCTGCTCACTCTGTGCTCAACAGCATATTTTTGACGGTCTTGCTCTGCAAAATTTCCATGGGTAGAGCTTGAACTCCATATGTCCCTTTTTTTTTTAAATCTGGGCAAAATTCCGACTGACTTCAAACAGTCACTGGCATGCTCACACTAGCTGCCCTCAAAGTCAGCATTTATCTGTGGTACTCTAATACTCTAGCTACTTTTCTCATAAGAGGTGTGCAAAATTATTAAGAACATTGCAGATACTGTGGCAATCGAGTAATACTGCATTTTTAATCACAGCCGTTATAAATAGGCATATGGAAGATGTGAGAAATAACAATTGTATGGGATATCCAGGGAAGCATTTTCAGTCCTCAGGCGTAGTTCAATAGCAACGAACAGTGGAAAATGAATGTTGAACTCCTGTAACATATAATAAGATTTCTTAGTTTGCTTGAAGCAAATCTGTACTTTATACATGGATATACACACATATGCATATATATAGTTATAGATGCATATACGTGTGTAACTTACTGTTGAATCAATACTGAACACATTTTGCTGTTACCTCTAAAAATATGCAATGCCTTTCATTTGTCGACCACTGCCACAAATAATCATGAATTCTGGCCACATATTTTTTCTCTTGCAACGGCTGGTGTGGTACCTCCTTACTTGTTATAAAATTCTGAAGCATCTTGAACTATAAAAAAGTTTCCAAATCTCTGCAAGATCTATGCTTAGCTAAATACATTATCTAGACTTGTCTCTACACAAAACAGAGATACATAACTTTGAGGCAAAGGAGGAGCATGCAGAAATCCACAGTAACTCTATGACCTCTCTTTCACTTTCTCAAAGACACAACATCATGTTTATTGCCAAGTACATGGAATGAGGGCCCCAGATACCCAAATTCCCAGGAGGTTCTACAAAAGCAAAGAACAGAAATTCAATACTAATATAAACCTTTAAAAGAATACCGATTAAACAGGAAAGAGGGGAAAAAACCCCCACCCAAATACATCAAAGACAAATGTAATTGCTTTTGAATAAAACCAGATTGCTTTCTACCTACCTGCCTTAAAGGCAAGCACTCCAGCCTGGGATACAGAATACCAAAAATCACTGGTAGAAGCAGAGGCACAAGTATTTTGTAGGCAAAGTTAACCTATTCTGATTTAATAGCTCAAAGGCTTATCTGGATTTCAGACAAGAAGAGGATGCAATTTACTGCTTCTTTCACACAAATGAGCAGAGCTAGTTAAAACATTCGGGAGCACTTTGAATATTGATCTGTCCTAGAATAAGACGTAAGAAATCTGATTTGCCATGGAAATGTTGTATCAATCTTCAAACCTTGATATGCCCCAAAGTGGCCTTCAAACGAAAGCCGGAAAATCCTCTGGGAAGATGTCATTAGAGCCATCAGCTCAGGGACTTCTGGCGTCCCCTCTGCCGAGCAGGACTGGATCAGCACTTTGAAGCGGGTATGTCACCACCCAAAGCATATCAGGAAGGGAGCTGTACCTATTCTTTCCTCAAAAAGAACGTCACGTTCTGTCCCCACTACGTGTCACCGCAGCAGCCCATTCCTCACAATGCCGAAAGACAATCAATCACGACTGTGAATCACCTTGTTCAAAGTAGTGGCCACCGGAGACTTCCCTATGACACCTCAGGCAGCGGAGAAGCCATGATAAATGTTTGCTGACACGAAACAAAGTCACGCGGTATTTAACCCCTGAGCTGGCAAACAACTGAGGATAAAATTTGTCTGGGAAAAATCTCCCTCCGATTTCGGGAGACTTCCAATTGTACTGGTGACAGTTTTCACAGGATAATTTATGTTCAAAGAATGAATACACTCATATTAGTTATGCTCAGCAATAGGCTAAACTAACCCTGCTACCACGTTGGAAACTGCAGGGTTACGCCACACTTAAATCAACAACACAGTTGAAAAGAAAGCATTAAAGACCCTTATAACTGTATTTTTCCAAGCATATAAACATGTTCACATAAAAATCATCACTTGTATTCCATGTGCAGCTTACACCCTCACTAATTTTTCAGCCATAAATTTTCTGAAATTCTGCTTTGGGTTTTTCCCCGTTTCAACCTCTGTAAGAAAAGTCCACGGGGATGGAGGATGAGCCAGCAATTTCAGTGGGAATATTCCCACTTCAGTATGTTTGCATCAGGCCCCAAAATAAGAAAGTATTTTCTTCACACTTTGGGACACAGACCTCTTTGGAGTCTGACTGGGTGCCAGGTATTGACTTTGCAAATGACTGGATATATAAGGAGGCAGATATTCAGCGTTTCAGGCACAGGGTCAGTGAAAGACCACGGCTGGGTTGGCTTTCAGTACTCTGCGGTTAGAATAACAGCCCTGTACACGTGTAATGAGCGTATGAGAATGGCAATACAGAGCATTACTCTACAAAACTGCTGCTTTTGCAAATTTCACATCTAGGAAGGGACCACCAGGATCCAGGTTCCCTCTAACCCAAGTCTGTGCTTTCTCTGCATCCAGAGAAAGAGATACCAGCTAGACTGTTCCCACCTCCATCAGTCTTCAACGAAAAGCCAGCAACGGCAAACCCTTCCTACATTCCCGCTATTTCAAGAAGAGGCAAAACCACCATGCCAGATTAATGTTTGAAAGCCTGTGATAACTTCAAGACTTTTTTTCAACTGTACCTGGTTTAGAGCCTTCATCAACAGATCCATTATAGACTTGGTTTATAAACTCCGGTCTGTTGTCATTCATATCAATCACATAGATGTAAAGGTCAATAGGATTCTCCACCTTGTTTCCATTCATATCCACCGCATGAGCCCGGAGCTGGGAATAAGCACAATGAAAGCATAATATCAGCAATTGGATTTGTTGCAGAATGAGAGACTATGTTTTGTAAGAATTGACTTCACCTCATAAATACTTTCTCAAAATTGAACTGAGCGGGTATCTAATTCCAGCAGATTGCAGTGACGTGGTTTCCATCTAGACTCTACACACAGACAGTTTTTCAAGGCTTAACATAATATTGAAATAGTATTTTGAAACAGCAATTGTCAGTGGAAACACTTTAACTGTGGTGTAGTGATGCTATCTCCTTCACTGCTAATAGAGCACTATATTTTAATTTTTAAGACGTGGTGAACCCTGTCTGACAATCTGAAAAGCAAAATTTGCTTAGTTCCAAACACGGTGAGGAAATGAGTTTGACTCGAGAGGTTTCTTACGGGAACCTGCAGCCTTTCATACCCACAGTAACAGGGATTACTAGGTGAAGAGATTTCAGAATGACATTAGTATTGTTTATTCTTTGTTTAATCGTGGTCTCTAGGAACAGCAACAGCTACTGACCCCACTGCTCTAATGCACCAAAACCCATAAAAAAGTCCCTTTCCTTCAAACGATGGGAGCCCCTGTGGCACTACAAATGAAATATTTTTCTCAGGCTTGACTAAAATATCCAGTGATGAAACATTACAATAACCAGAGCCACAGTGTTAAGTCCTCAGTCAAAGTGGAACTGCGGCTTTATCTTATTAGCAGTAACCATCAGTAATAATGCTCGAAAACAAGAGCATCTGTTTTCTGAACAAAAGGGACAGATACAGCATGTCAAAATGAGTAATTAATAAAACAAAGCAATCAACAATAGTCTGGAACAATCAGTAATCAGGTGAAAAAAATGGATAGCTTTCTCATTAAAGGGAACAGATGGCTACTCTAAATGGCGTGTGCGCTGAATGGAGCTGCCGATGTCGGCTTCAGAAAAAAAACCAGACAAGCGAGGGAAGGGCTGCACGGCCCCTGACGATGGCTGGGCAGCGGAAAGGCATCGCCTGGGTGCGGGCGCTGCAGATTTCATTTGTCATCTCTCTTCATTTCAGCACCTGTGAGCATCGCTGAACCTCCACACCGCCACGAAAATCGGGGAGGGCGCTCAGGATGGCTGTGTGATATCCCACAAGGCTGGCGGGATGAAGAATGAAGGCTTCAGAGGATGCTAGCTTGGTACAAGGGCTGGCTGGAAGAGCGGGGCTGACGGACAGGGGACACACCAGCTCGTGCCTTCCGAGAGATTGAGGCCTCTGGTCCTTCCCGGCAGCTCCCTGGGCCGTCGGGCTGCTGCCGGGAGTTGGAGCTCCTGTGCCAAGGAGGTCTCTAGCTCCTCTGATGCATGACAAATAAATGTGCTAATTGCATTAGCACCGGTTTCCGTCTTTCGCTCTCGCTGTGCTGTGATTGATGCAACTTTCTCCTTCATGTATGGTGTTCAGAAATCCAGAGCTCAACAAAAGAAACTGCAACGCTATTAGGATGGGCTGGATTAACATTCAAGCAAGCAAAGAGAACAAACTGCCATGTGAAATGAGCTAGGAGAAAAACATTTTTTTTAAAGGAAGTTAAGCAGCAGTTTTTCTTTAAAGACTGAAGAAGTCCGGCTTTGTTTTCAATACAGGATGTACCATTTGTATTTCATGACTTGTAATGCTCTTAATATCTGCATTTCTTGCCTGCATACAAACTGCTTTGACTCCCACCTGTTGAGCTATCCTTCATCACGTCAGATGTAGCAATTCAATAACTTTACCAGTCAGAGGTCAGACTGCCTTTGAAAAAAAGTAATTCGGAGCTAAAATTAAAGTTATTATCTTCAAACTGCGGCAGCACTGGGCTCTCTCTTGCTGCATTTCCAGCAGCGGAAATGGTTCCATTCAGAGATAAAGCAGAGAGCAAAGCCGGTATCTTCCCCTTCAGATCTGACTCTCCCCCTGCAAATTTTTAATTACATTTGATAGCTTTTGTTTGAAATCTCCAGGAGTAAGGGATTTCTCAGCAATGCACGTCTATCTGCTTGTTGCACTCACCAAGCACATGTACCCACAAAGGTGTTACTGCCTGCACTCAAGGAAAAAAAGATTCAATAAGCAAGGCTGCAGGAATCTCATCAAACCTGCGGTGACATGCACAGGTGTCACCTCTGCCCCGAGCCCAGCACCAGCACCCAGGCTGAGTTATGGGTGGGAGGACAGTGCCCGGGGACACAGGCACTGGTGCGGGCACTGGTGCCCTGACTAATGGCTTTCGGACAGCCAGGAGGATGGCACCAGCTCCCCAAGCCCAGCGCGGCAGCAGACCCTGTGCCTTTGCACCCTGGATTGTGCTGGTGTCTGGGTGTCCCTAGCTGCTCTTCTTCTGCCCTCTAATGCAGTTGTTACTGCTGCCCTTTCTGCACGCCCCGCTTCTCTCTCCTGCTCCTTTTTTGCGTGACTCCAGTGAACTTTTCTTTTTCCTCTTGTGCTTGCTTGCATGAATTTTCTCTATTTGCATTCTTTTAACAATTCTCATGTGCCAACGCCTCCATATCCTTCCACAACACGTTGCTCCTCTGTGGTCAGTGCCAGCCGCAGCAGCGGGAGAAGAGAGGCCTGAGCCAGAGGGCTGAATCTCAGCTTAGCTCAGTGGGAGCTTTTCCTCATTAGAGACCATTCCTCGTTAGAGACCATTCCTCATTAGAGACCATTCCCAGCAGAGAGAGCAAAGGAAGGAGGGACTCCAGTGGGGCAATCTGTCCACCGGGAAACTAGCTGCATCTCCAAGCTAGATCAGATACTACATTTCCCTTCCTTAATTCATCTTCTCCCTTGTTCTCCTACCCTACTCTTTGTATTAATGAGGCATCCTCAAGCAGGACAACACGCTCGGCTTTGGAGTCGTTGGTCAGATCCCGAGACAGGGCTCATCTGTGCGAGGCACAGTTTGAGTCTAACGTGGGGCTCCACGGCTCAGCCTGCCATCTGCTCCCACCTGTGACCAAGTGGGTGTTTTGGTGGTAGAGCGATGGGTGGGATGAAAAGCAGGTGCATGTGAGGACTTTGCGGCACTGGGCAAGGCACAAACGGTGATGGCTGCGCTCTGTCAGACACACGCGTCATTTAGAGTTGGAAAAACCACCAGTCAAAAGGCCGGTGAGCACAACCTGGGCCACAGGACACACGCCAAACACCGGTCATGCACGAGTATTCAAATGGAAGCTGGTGGCTAGCTGGAGATACAGTTAAGAAACATTTATACAGTTGGTTTGATGGTAGAACGTGACAGGAGTAGAGAAGGAATAAATAAAATCAAATGAAATACCTTGCAGAGGATTCTGAAAAATTAATACAGGTAGCTGGCTAATCTCTAGCCGGTGTATCGCTCTGCTGTACACCAGCCAAGAAGCTGGCTCAATATTCTTTAACAAATATTGTTTAAAAGTATGACAATCATTGCTATCATATTCAGCAGCAGCTACCATGGGTCTCTGAGGTTTTTCTACTGACAGTTTCCAGTGTAAATGTAGCTGTTGGCATACAAATGATTCAGTATCATGATTATTGATTACACTGGAGGCTGGTGGTATCTGAAGGTAGTTAGTCAAAGTCAACACAGTGAATTGTGTTAAATATGAATATTACTTATGCACTAATACTACTAATACAAATATACATTATCAATCAGTGACAGAGTCTTTAAGCAATAAGCATACAATGTCATGCCTAATTTGTGTGCTCTTAATTGTGATTAAAAGTTCAAATTAGAGTATTGTGACACAAATGGCTGGCATTACTCACTAGAACTTGGTTCAAAATACTGGAATTAGATCTTGTATCCCTTAATTTCTAGTAAACTTTTTTGTCTCCTTGCACTTCAAACAACTCCTCCTCAGACTATAACCCACCTGTTCTGCTTTAGCCATTTCTGAGACGGTATTTCATCAGTCTGATGCTGAAAGCATACAAGCGTCTGGGACTGGATTAGGACTTGCTTCAAAGTTTCCCCCTAATGCACATTACTTGAGTATCATAAGCAATGACTACTTACTGACACGTTTATGTTGATGTCTTTTGAAAACAGAGCTTGAAAAACGTCTTGGAAAACTAACCTGCCAATTTACTATCCCTTGTACTTGCCAGGCCTAACTTCAGCTTGATATGAAACTGGTGTCTGGATGAGAAGAGACATTCAGATTCACTAATGCTGTCAGCAGTACAAACGGGACTTTGGGAATGCAGTTAAATAAGGCCAAGAGAACTCATGCATGTTAAATATTACTACCTGCTGAAACTTATTTGGCATGCAATAAACATTAAGGGCTGACTACAAAGGGAGATGCAACAACACACGCCTGCTGCAGTGAAACGGCAGCAAGATGGGGGGAATGAGCTCGTGCTTGTGCTGGGAGTGTGTCCCGAGGCTGCGTCCCCAGACACGGGCACTAAAGACACTGGAGCAGCTCCCACAGCATCACTCAGTGCAAGACGTGCAGTTCTGCACCACAACGTGGTATTGGTTAAGTGGCTGCAAAGCCCTTCTCATTTTTCTCTGCTCATATTTGCAGCTGACTCTGCGTCTGGGATGTCTGCAAGGTCCCTGGAGAGTTTGTACTCTGGTTTGTAGTGCAGACGGGAAAACAGATGAGGCCAAAATACAGCTGAACTTGCGATCGCTACCACTGCCAGTTGTGCTGGGAGGTTAATGCAGGAATGCTAGCACACACTGCACCTGGGCAGACACTGTGAGTCCCAGAGGCAAATACATCTCTGCGTACCTCAAGCTCGGAATGATCCTCCCTAAGAGTTCAAGAATGATCTTGAAAACAGGGGAAGTTCTGCTACAGAACTCCCGATCTAATTAGAAAAAATCTGTTTCACCTTAGGGAAAAAGGTAGGTTTCATCAGACAAATGGCTTGCTAAATGCGGGGAGAGTTAAAACACTAGTATTTTAAAAATGGTAGTCCTGAAGCGATACAGATAATTATGCATAAGAAAATATGTGTTGAAAATGTGGGAGTTAATGAAACAGAACTCTTCATATGTAGCCTCACAAACACTTGCAAATTATTATTTTTTTTTTTATAATTAGTTTTTAGATTACCTGGGAATGAAAACAGCAAGGACAACACTCGACAGTGACAGAGATGCTGAAAAGACTTCATTCTGCTTAGGACTGCAGAAAAGCTGAAGCTGTATAAATGCACCCATCTTCAGCCAGAGCAGCAAGCCTGTATTGGGTAAGATGCCCATGTCCTACTGGGTAAAAGGGACCAGGGATGGTGCCTTGCAGCTCCCCCAACATCCTTTACCCCAGCGGAAGAGTTAAGCTACTAATCCGAGCTTAAGAAAACTCTACAGCAGATGTCAAACCCATTTAAAGATGGCCAAGCTCTACGGCTCAGATCCAAGCCTAGACCTCACGGCACTGTTCTTCCAGTACGCGGTATAAGCCTGGCTCCAAGTCTGCCTTTCCTTTCAATTAGAGACTCAGCTATATGAAGTGGCACAAATTCATTGGCTTCTCCACAACCTGCAAGAGCCAAGACTTTGGACTGTATCTTCTTTCTGGAAGCCAGCCTAATTTTTTCCAGTTTCTAGGACTGTCCGTTCCTACTGCAAGTTTCTGCACTAGTGTCTGGGTCATTGCTTTGTGCATGGTGTATTTATAAATGCTTTGTAAAAGAACAATTTGATGGTTCTATAAATCATCAATCCATTGCTACTAAGGCTGAAGGATCTAAAGGTTGTTTACAGCCATGACTTAAAATGTTCTCCATCACCTTCAAGTGTTCTGCTAACAAAGATTTTCTCTCCCTCACTATTCCTGTCTATAAGGTCTGTCCTGGTTTCAGCTGGGATAGAGTTAACTGTCTTCCTAGTAGCTGGTACAGTGCTATGTTTTGAGTTCAGTATGTGAAGAATGTTGATAACACTGATGTTTGCAGTTGTTGCTCAGTAGTGTTTAGACTAGAGTCAAGGATTTTTCAGCTTCTCATGCCCAGCCAGGGCACCTGACCCAAACTGGCCAACAGTGAATTCCATACCATGGGACGTCCCATCTAGTTTAGGAACTGGGAAGTGGGGGGGCAGGGAATCGTTGCTCGGGGACTGGCTGGGTGTCGGTCGGCGGGTGGTGAGCAATTGCCCTGCGCATCATTTGTACATTTCAATCCTTTTATTACTACTGTTGTCATTTTATTAGTGTTATCATTATCATTATTAGTTTCTTCTTTTCTGTTCAATTAAACTGTTCTTATCTCAACCCAGGAGTTTTACTTCTTTTCCTGATTTTCTCCCCCATCCCACTGGATGGGGGGGAGTGAGTGAGCAGCTGCGTGGTGCTTAGTTGCTGGCTGGGGTTAAACCACGACAGGTCTCATAACATACTTATCAGTTATTCACTCTCTATAAACTACATCTTCCTGTAACCTTCAGAGGGTGAATATGCTTATTTACATATGGATGTCACTAGTTCAAGGTTTCCGTAAGGAACAGAAAAGGCTGGAAATCCTGCAGTACGGATGAGGCAGACTTATCCAGTCACCTTTGCCAAGGTGAGGATTCAGTTTACTGAATTCACTGTAACCAGTAGGTTAAGTTCGTTATTAGGAGGCACATGATTTGTTGTTATGGAGGACAAAATCTTTTTCATCTTACGTTTTTTGACTGAGAGTGTCTGATAGTAGACATCACAGTGGCTCCATCAAAAGTGTTAACTTGTGTATTGTATTATTGTCTACACTGTTATAATAACCTGGCACTGCTGAAACAATATCAACGATGCTGAGATGACACATACTGTATCTCAAATATTCCTTTTTCAAAACAACCTCTGTTCATATTTTCCTAGGCACAACAAACAAAATAATTGTTCTTGTTCACAGAGGATAAAATAATTTTCCTTCAGATCTTCTTGTACCCAGGGGAAATCTCTTTTTCCACCCAACTAAAGAGGTAATCTATTTTCTTTATCCTTCCACCCCAGTCCAGAAGCTGTGTCAACATGGTTAACTGGATACCTCATAAAGCTGACAGAATGTGCATCTCCGACGGCGCAGTTAGGAATACGGTGTCAGTGGAAGTGACCCGTACCGTTTCACTGACATTACAGCATCCCTGGGAACGGCTATTACGATGCCGATAGATGTGGCTAATGCTGATACAAAGCAATCCATGAAACAACCTTTCACAACCACTCCAGGAGAGAACTAAAGCACAGACACAGAAAGTGTTTGAAATTTTGCAGGGCTATCATGCAAGGTGCAACCCATTTTTTTAGCAATTTGTGGGACTGTATCGGCTGTGCAATTACACTATGCAATATAGGGGCTAGGATTTATATCAAAACATAACGGCCAATTACACTCTAAGCATTCTGCAGGTAGAGCATTTTATGAACTAGGATACACTTTTGAGTGTAATTAATCATAATTATTTCCTCATATTTAATATTAGCCTATCTGCATATTTAAAAACCTATCTGACACACCCCCATCATACTGCCTGAACATCTCCTAGTGATTTAAAATGAAAAATGACTATAACAATTATTGCATGTTTAGCTGCAGTAATGATTCTTAAATTAGTAATTTCCCAATACGTGCTAATGTAGCGATTGGCTTCTCATGGTTTTGGGGGGTTCAGTCCACACATAAATTTGCATGGATTTAATAAGCAGCGTGAAGTTGCACCACTTTAAACAAATGACTCTGACTTTGTGTCTGAAAAGGACATCAGTTTAATGCCGCTTTGCATTGGTTTGGCTGATTTAGCAAGGGCAGGTTACACTAAAGGAAAGCAGAAACAAAGCCAGCATCTCCGTATACAAAAACAATTGCTCCGGCAGAGCGAGACTGAGACTCACAGTGTTAGTTAAGCCTGAGCACCTCTGTGCAGTCAGCTCCTCAGGTCTCTGCTGACACAGGGAGCCCATCCAAACTGTGAATCAGGCTCCGATTTTGAGCAAAACCCCATGTCTTCTCAAAGCTGCATGTCCCTTCTTGAAGCCAGCATTTCTGGTCCGGTTTTGCTTTGAGCTTGCGAACCGAGATAAAACTCCAAATGTTTTATGCTTACGTGGTAGGAAGCTCTTTCTTCTCTGTCCATCGGGCGAGTCACATACATCCTGCCAGATACAGGGTCAATGCTGAAGACTTCCATCGGCGGCTGGTCGGCTCCCACTCCAGTGATGCTGTATCTGATATGGATCTCTTTGTCTTTATCAGAACGAATCTGGATGAAATAACAAAGACAGCAATCGATAAGTTTTGGACAAAAGCCATATAGATGTTTAAACAACTTTAAAGATCTGAGCCTGAAAGCTGCATGAATGTAATACTGCTGTCAATTTTGACAAGGGAGCTGTACGCCAAAGGTTTGGGGAAAAGCCAGGAAAAGCATATTCCACATATTTTCAGCTATTTTTCTCTTTTATTCATGATAATTCTTTAGGAATCATTGAAATTCTGACTTTTTGCCTTAGATGTGGAAGAATCTATATGCACAAAAATTGCTGTTTACGTGTTATTAAAACCCTAGGCTCCGTAAAGTGTCCAAATTGTTCAGCTATACCCAGAGTCTCCCAGCCATTAATCACTTCTGAAAACGCTGTCTGCAAGCTCCCACATCATGTTCTCAGTCCCTGTGACTGTGCACACAAATACTCCCATGAAATTTGAAGAACAGGGCTGCTTGCTCCCTCTTTGTCCAACCCTGCTGGCTCAACAAGGCAAGGCTGGGAATGCCCGGTGGGTTGTTACCATTTCATTTGACTATTTGTTGAGGAAAAGCATGTTTGGCACATTGCTTTTGAAACCCCTTCCCTCCCATACCTTGAGAACAACACAAACTGAATACAGCATGACAAATTACATGAACCTTGGATACAGAGCTGAGAAAATAAAAAAGGGAGGTTAGTATGTTGTCCTAGCAACCCTGACTATCTCTTTAAACCCAAATTTAATTTTCTGATCAAATGCTGAAAGAAATCCTTGCAACAGCGTGACTATTCCTGAAAGAAAGTGCAAGGTACAAATAAATTACCACCCCCTGCACCATCACAAACTGTCTTGGCAGTGTAAAAGCGACGTGCATAAATTTTTCCCTAACAGGTCTACGAATACAACAAAGCAGCGGGAAGATAATAGAAACCTCGTAGCCGAGTGCACGTTAGCATCTCTGCTACGGCAGCGGCATGCTCAGAGGAGCCTGAGTGGGCTCAGTGGGATGCGGGAGGCCCCTGCGCCCCCCGAAAGAGCCCCAATTTGGGGAGCGAAGGTGGTTTCCCAAGGGAAAAGGAGGCTTCACTTGTCAAGCAAAGGAATTGGGACGGGGCTGTGGGCTGCTCTCGCACTCCTCCCGCATGTGACCTACCGCTATTTCTTCCTCTCCTGACACGGGAGGCTGACAAGATGCTGAACGTGTCGGTGCAGAATAATATCAGATCCCCTGGCCCTGAGAATCTCCTTTGATGCCTTTGTCCAGATCATTACCAAGTTTGTACACTGTTTTCTTTGTACTGCCTCCACCAAATAGTCTGCTCCCGTTAACGGCTAATAATGTCAGTTATTACTAGACACTGCCAGGATTGATTCGTGCTGCACCTACGCTTCTGGAGCTGAAGGTCAAGGAAGAGAGACAGTTTCATCTGTCTTTTCTCTACAGGATTCACTGCTTGTTTAGGCTATTAGTACCAAGGAAAACTGATTGGACTTACACTGGTATAATCACTTAAAAGAGGTACTGGGGACATTGTGAAAGTGCCCTCATGCTGCACACAACTGTTTATGCAGGTTTTTGTGGGCCCAGTGGGTATCTGTAATAGGGACTCAAGCAGACAGGCATGAACCCAATTTTCATTAGCAAATCTATGGGTGAAAAAGAGCATATTAAAATCAAGCTTTGCTTGCACAACCGGGGTTTTAATGATGGCAACCAACTCACCAGTTCAAGAACTGAAGTCCACAGTCCCCATTTTCAGAACGTTAGCTTTCACCCTGCCAGGCGGAAAGGGCTGAAAATTGAATTTACGTGACTGTCTGTGCAAAATGTATAGCTCAAGTCAGGGAGTTCAAGCTCTAACCCCCTATGTACACATTTGTAGCTAGGCTTCAGGTAAGTGAAAATGTAGGAAGCCACCACTGGACCTCTAGCTTTGGGCCAGCATCAGGTTTCCACCTTAGAAATTAAAAAGCGTAATGTGGGATGAATGGTTGTGTGTCTGTCTCTATTAACATGTGTTTGCACAGCTCCGAAAGACCTAAAACGTGTCATGATAAAACCAGCCCTTCATCCTTTACAAAGGTGGAAGGAAAAAAAAAAGACCAAACCCAAGGTATCTGCACTTTCCCTGCCTTTTTGGTCACTGAAATACAGGAGCTGGGAGGGTCTCCCCAGGCCCAGCCCCAGCCTGGCTCAACTATGGCACCAAACAGCAAATGAGTCTCTCTCCAAGTAACTAAAATGGAAGCAATTTTAACCTGAATCACAGAATAACAGAATCTGTTAGTTCTTTGCGGACATTTTTCTGCTCTATTTCCTGTTGCATATAGTACCCAGATCCCATTGTGATAGAAGCATTAGAAATGCATAGAGAGAGACAGAAACAGGGAAAAGGAGGCTGGATTTAAATATTCAGTGCTAAAGGCACTATATTTTATTTTCAGGAAATGCAGATAAACAGAAGCTCTCTAAGAAAGCTATGTACAGTTTAATAAAGTGTATGCTATAGGATGTCCTTGCAGCACTTTTATTAGCATTAATAGGGTCTAAGCTGTCTGTATGTAAATCATTGCAGATCTAGGAGATGAAATATATCATAAGACCCACACAACTTGCCCAATTATACTAAGAAAAATCCATGAGCTAATTATACTGCTTTGAGCAAAACAAAGATGGGGGAAGTACGTTGCAAATATTCAGCAATGACTCATTATTTGTTGTTAATTGCATCATACTACAATGGTTTGCCTGTTACCTGTACTTAATTCCGTTTCCAGTAAGAATACAAGGATGTGAAATGTTCAGAAAAAATCATGTAAGAAGTAGCACTTGTCACTGAAAGTTGCAAAGACCATTGACAATGAAGCATAGTATGTATTACTACCAGGGAGATATTCATCGCACAAAGGCACATGCTTTTTATATTGGAACATGTAATTTTAGCACTCTTAATGAGATTTAAAAAAAAAATTTTTTTTTCAGTAATCCTGTAACATTTTGACCAAAGGTTTCATTTGCATAATTCCCAGGGTGCAATTTAGTAAATCTTGTTGAGAAGTTAAGAACATTATCTGAATACAATGTAAGGTTTACTTCTTTTGTTGAAACCGTTCCTGGAGCAGTTTACCATAATAATAATAAGAATAAAAACCCCCTCTATTCCCAAGGAGCTCACTAGATCAGGAGAAAAAATTACTGGTTGGGGGAATTTACTGGCTCAGGAGAGAGTTGCTTTTTCCTTCATTTATGCCTGGAAAGTGAGAAGATGGTAACATATCCGCGTGATAATCTTCAGATTGGAGAACATACACATGAATTTTTTTTCATTTATCTTTCCTTTTATAATGCAGTCAAGAGGTATGCAGCGTTCTGGGTTACAGAACAGATGGCAGAAGGACAGTTTTCCTTAGCTGCATTTATACATTTTTTACTCAGAGAACCCTTGGAGCTTTGAGCTTCTCCAGCGCCAAGCACCGTACAGCACCGTGTATGATGATGTGAGCAGGATGAATGATGACGGCTGATGACTGTCGTAAGAGGAATTTGCTCGTAAAGCAGCTTTTATTCTCTAAAAAACCCCTCTGGGATGGAGCTTGGAGTGAATTGTTACGCTGATGAGGGAAAATGCCCCAGATCAAAAGGCAATTTACGGTGGTAGATGTGGTCCCCTGATCCTATCCTATCTCATGAACACAGGTGAAATTTTCCCGGCAGGAACCCTGGGATGGCGAGTATCCTCACCTATGCTGACAGATACAAATGGACCATCTGGGAACTGTGGGACTGGCTACCAAAGCCACAGAGGGAACCTGCAGCAGAGCTGGGCACCGAACTCGCATTGCCAGACCTCCACTTGGCTGTGGCGAGCAAGGACATGGCGGCCTTGCAGCCCAACAGCGGAGCGGGGGGCTGCGGAGGGGTCTGAGCTCGAAGCATTGATGCACCATCCAAAACGGAGAGCAAAGGCTCCAGTCAATATTTGCAACTCAGAACCAAAATGCCAAGAGTCTAACTTAGCTCTCATTTCTATAGAGTAATCCCAGGAACAGGAGAAATCGGTGCGATTTCACAGATGGGTATTTTCCACCGCAGGTTCTGATAAAGTAACTAAAATGTGTGAAAATGAACATTGCAAGTCTTGAGATAATACAGGGCTAAGCCCTTCAGAGCTGGCTTTCTCCTTTGTAGCAATGTCACATTTCAACAGGCTTGAAAAGCAGCCTGTGCTTGTGACACAGGACTGTGTCCTGCTTTTACAGATAAAATCTTAGGGTTCGTGCATCTCCATCAGGATTTACTGGGTAGCTAAACTGTTCCCGCAAGTTTTACTGGTAAGCAAAATTTCAGTTGATGAGCTCCTCTGAGGTACCAGATTTTATCACTCTGTTTTGCTCCTGTTGATCCATATCCTTCTTGTGCTCTTAGCACTTCCATTTCTCGCTGCGGGGTTTTGAATTTACAAGCTCTCTCATCCTAGCAGATGACAAGAACCACCACAGATCCCCATAACTCTCCTGTGCCAGGAGCAGAGGCAATGCGGACTATGGAAAGCTGTATGGTCAGCAGATTGAAGGACACCAGTGAGTCCATAAATTACACAGTTTTTGGAGCATGACATTGCCAGAAAAAAGTGGCCCAATGGAGATTGTTTAGATATCAGTAAAGGAAATGCCTGGAAGCCTAGGAAACGGAGTGTGTAAGCAAAGGCTGAACAAACAAGGACTACTGAGCCTACAGAAGAGAAGACGGGACTGTAACAACAGTATTCCTGTACCCAACAAACTCTATTCAGAGGATTTCACCGAGCCGTACGTGGTCTGGGTTCTGCCTGTCACTGTGTGATGGTATATGTAAGTGCCTGGGAATGTATCTAGAGAAAGCAAAGCAGCCTCCTTATACTCTGTTGCATTTTCTATCCACAGAGCAAACTAGAAAATAAATTTCCTTTCAAATTCTCCAACTTACTCTATAATGTATGGAGTTAAGGCTGCCCTTCAAAAAATACTTAGTTT